CCGGCCCCCGCAGCCTCGACCTGCTGGGCTCCGGCGATCCTTCCGCCTCAGCCTTCCAAGTAGCCGGAATTACAGGCGCGTGCTGCCACACCCGTCTGATTTTTTGATTTATTGTAGAGATGAGGTCTCACTGCCCAGGCGGGTCTCGAACCCTGTGGGCTCAGGCAATTCACTCACCTCAGCCTCCCAAAGGCGCGGGATTACAGGCTGAGCCACCGAGACCGACCATTTTTTTTTAAAATAGAGACGGAGTCTCACTATATCGCCCAGGCTGGTCTCAAACTCCTGGTCTCAAGTAATCCTCCTGCCTTGGCCTCCCAAAGTGCTGGGATTATAGGCATAAGCCACCACACCCAGCTGACAATTTATAAGTCTGAAATTCTACAGCATTTCAAGCAGCATGATACAATCTGTCCCATTCCATCCTGCCCAGGACATGAATCATCCCTTTGTCCAGCATCACCATGTGGTATGTCCTACCTGTCTACTAGTCATGTAGTGTCGGTCTCAGTTATCAGATGAACTGTCACAGTATTGCAGTGTTATGTTCAAGTCACCCTTATTTCACGTAATAATGGCCCAAAGCACAAGAGCAGTGAAAGCTGACAATTGGGGATATTCCAAAGAGAAGCCCTAAAGTGCTTTAAGTGAAAAGGTGAATATTTTTGACTTAATTAGGAAAGAAAAAAAAACCATCTGCGGAGGTTGCTAAGCTCTACAGTAAGAATGAATATTCTATCTGTGAAATTGGAAAGAAGGAAAAAGAAGCTCATGCTACTTTTGCTATTGCACCTCAAACTGCAAGTTACGGTCCCAGTGTGTGATAAGTAAATCGTTAAGATGGAAAAGACATTACATTGTAGGGAGAAGAGAAGATATGAAAAGAGTGATAAGGGGGAGGGTACCATAGTTTCCATTCTTAAAGTCTAGCTGCACAAAGACATGCAGACAAGGATATTCACTGCAACACTGTTTTCTCTTATACATTGGATATATCCTAAATAACACTCAATGGGGAACAGCTGAACTTCTCTAGGTAAAATGGAATTACACACAATTAAGCAGCATATCACTTTTGTACCAATATGCAGAAGTTCCTTCAAAATACACTGGCAAGCCGGGCTCGATGGCTCAGCCTGTAATCCCGCACCTTTGGGAGGCTGAGGTGAGTGGATTGCCTGAGACCGCGGGTTCGAGACCCGCCTGGGAAACTTGGCGAGACCTCATCTCTATAATAAAATCAAAAATTAGCTGGGTGTGGTAGCGCACACCTGTAGTTCCAGCTACTTGGAAGACTGAGGCGGAAGGATCGCCGGAGCATAGCAGGTCGAGGCTGCGGTGGCCGGGAGCGGCCACTGCACTCCAGTCTGGGTGACAGAGTGAGACTCCAACTCAAAAAAAAAAAAAAAACACTGGCAAACCAGGCATAGTGGCTCATACCTCCCAGCACTTTGGGAGGCAGAGGTGAGAAGATTACCTGAGCTCAGGGGTTTGAGACCAGCCTGGGCAACATGGTGAGACCTTGTCTCTACAATAAATAAAAAAATTAGATGGGCATGGTGGTGTGTACTTGTGGTTCCAGCTACTTGGAAGGATGAGGCAGAGGGATTGCCTGAGCCCAGTAAGTCGAGGCTGCAGTGGCCAGGAGTAGCATGCTACTACACTACAGCCTGGGTGACAGAGTGAGACTCTGACTCAAAAAAAAAAAAAAATATACTGGCAAATGAAGATGTACAGTATGACAGCCTTTTTTGGTTTTTTTTTGGAGTCAGAGGCTCACTCTGTCACCCAGGCTGGACTGTGATCATGGCTCACTGCAGTCTCAACCTTCTAGGCTCAGGGGATCCTTCCACTTAATCCTCTCGAGGAGCTGGGACTATAGGTATGTGCCACCACACCCAGCTAACTTTTTTACTTTTAGAGTCGGAGTCTCACCCTATTGCCCAGGCTGGAGTGCAGTGTCAGGATCACAGCGACCACAGCCACGACCTGCTGGGCCCAGGTGATCCTTCCACCTTAGCCTTCTAAGTAACTGGGACTATAGGCGTGTGCCACCATGCCCAGCTCATTTTTTAATTTATTATAGAGACAAGGTTTTGCCATGTTACCCAGGCTGTTCTCAAACTCCTAAGCTCAGATAATCCTCTTGCCTCAGCCTCCCAAATTGATGAAATTACAAGCGTGAGCCACCATTCCTGGCCTTGTATTTTCTTTTTTTAGAGATGAGGGCTTGCTATGTTTCCCAGGCTGCGCTTGTACTCCTGGGCTCAAGTGATCCTCCCACCTCAGCCTCCCAAAGTGCTAGGATTGCAGGTATGAGGGGCTGCGCCTGCCTAGCATGATAGCCTTTATGCAAGTAGGTTATAATCAACAGTAGTTTTTCTTCAGATACTATGTTAATATCTGGACATATCTGGAAGTGTACACCCTGAAGGATGATAGCAGATCCCTCTGGGGAATGGAGAACAGGTACTGGTAGTAGAAGCTGGAGGAGACTGTATAGCCTTTTGAATGTATTCTTTCTTTCTTTCTTTCTCTCTCTCTCTCTCTCTCTCTCTCCCCCCCCTCCTTTCTTTCTTTCTTTCGAGTTGGAGTCTGGAGTCTCACTGTGTCGCCCAGACTGGAGTGCAGTGGCCGCTCC